AAGAAGTGTAAGGGAGGAGTCTGCGGTGGACGTGACTTGCCCCTTAGTGCTGCATACACAGCTGAATTTTGTCGTGCTGTGTTCAATGCTTGGATTGCAGGATGGGTCATGATGGCAAAGCCTTGATCCACCTCATGTCCTTCAAATTTAAAAGACCAACGGCGCACAAATGTGCCTAATGATTCGGGAAGGTTTCGTGAGTGTGACTGATGTGCTTTGTGGGAGGCATCAAAGCCTCTGAGCTATGTTGCTTGAATGGTTGAAGTGTAGCTCAGAGAAAAAAAACGTAATAAATGTTTTCGCTCGCCACTCTGTCAGGTTGACACGAGAGTGAGAGAGAGAGAGAGTAAGAGAGAATAAGAGAGATACTAGAGGTTTCCAATTGTTCATAAAGTTTTCATTTACATATTTAAGAGTTTTCATACACAGAGGGTTTTTCTATGTTTTTTTCTTTGTTTCTCTTTGTTACAGGCCTCATCGAGCAGAAAAATCAGTGCAGCAGACCGATCTGAGTTTGCTGCTTTGGCACGCCAAGCCTTTGATGATGCTGCTACATTTGCCTCTTGCTGCCTTGTGGACTGCTCTGCCTCTGCCATCAAGAGCAATGTAGAGGAGTGGTACAATGAGACGGGAAAGGCACTGCTGATTGGAGATGCATCTATCTCTGAGGTGGTGGATGACGAACCTGATGATCTACCGGAGTTGCAGGAGAAATATGTGTGAATAAAATTATTTATGTTTGTTGTAGATATTTGTGTTCTAATGTTTTATATTGTTTTACACATCTGGGAGATAGGAGATAATTCAGATTAATTTGTTGCAGGAGGACGACGATTCTGAAGATGAAGAGAACAGCCATGATTTCAGCAAATCTGTTTGCCACGCCATCGAAGCAGCGGAGACAGACTTGATTCTGACGACAGAGCTTCATAAGATCCAGGAGGAGCTTCCTGCAGCCCATGATCCAACAGATGAAGCTGAAGATGTCAATCTGAACTGTGGCAGTGAGAGTGAGATCGAGACAACAGAGCCGCCTGCGAAGAAAGAAAAGGCAGGAGCCATCCCCAAAACATTACATGATGTTTTGGAATTCAGTGAATTGGCTAACTTTGATCCTGGAAAGAAGGACAGCGAATCTTTGAGGAGACAGCGACTTGCTGCTTTGAATCCACATATGAGAGCCTTTTCATCTTATGCTAGATGTGCTGAAGGAATCTTGAGCAAGGCTGTGATAGCAGGTCATCGGCAAAAGGCACATGAACAATGGATCTTTGAAAAGGAGCTCGCCCTTGCTCGTGCAGAATATCAGTGTTCTGCCCAGAGGCAGAGTCGTCACAGCCTGTGGGCACAATACTCCGAGCGTGTCCACAAGGTTGTGAGTTCCATGGCAGAGAACGGGGATGAAGAAGCCGCCAAAGCTGCTGTGGAATGTAAGATCCTCACACCAATGTCCTTTACGAATGATTCTGGATGCAGAGCATGTCAACTTTTGGTTGTTCGCCCGATGAAATCAGGATCCTTGAAGCTGGGAGTGATATCAACCCTGTGGCGAGGTGGAAAGGACAAGAAAAGGTCCAAACAATACATTTGGTCTGAGCGCTCCTTGCCACAGTATGCTGCTACCATGATGCACATCAAGTTGTTGCTCCCTGCAGGTGAGCAAGATGAAAACAAATGGGAGTTGCTCACAGCCGATAGCTTCTCTCCTGTTGTGGCCTTGGACCCATCAGATGACGGATCCCTCATCATGGAAATTCCTCAGTCGCGTTTCAAACACTCCTTTGAGGATAGATGCCTGAAGGTTTGGATTTCCAAATCGTCCATCAAAGCAATTGCCAAGATCTATGAATCATCCATTCCATTTGAGGTCAAGAAGAAAGGCTCCGAGGATGTTATGTCGAAAACATACTTCACCGAGAATGATTTCCAGCGCAATCAGGCTGGCGTCAAGAACCTGACTAGGTACATGGCTCAAATGCGGCGGGACTTTGAGACCCACTTTCATGAATTGGTCTCAGAATCAGGCTTGGTCAGACTCCGCAAAGACACCAAGGTCTCATGGGAGGAATTGGTTGCTCGGGTGCCATCGTACTTCAAACGGTATTGCCGCAACAGCTCGCATTGGAAAGAGATGTCGAAAGAATCTCAATCCAAGTCGTTTCCTGCTGTGATTTTGTATTGTTTTCTTTATTATTCAGACAGACCACCACATGTAGGCAACCCTGGGAATAGTTCTTTTTCCCTGACCTTTGTGAGGGTTGTGGTATTTTTAAAAAAAACACAATACATGAGAACACATACAACAAATATTCCATCAGATTATCACTAGTGCAATACCTTCAGAATACTTTTTGGGGCAATACTAGATGCTCATATATTTTACTAAATTCATTATTATCTAAATATTCTAAAGGATTATCACTAGTGTAAGACCTTCAGAATATTTTTTTCACCATACTATATGGTTTTAATATATATATATGTTTTTTTGTTTTTATCAGGATAATGTTTATCTCAGGTACGGAAGGCTGGTCCAGCTGGAGCTGCAGAGTGTTTCACCAATGGTTGGGCAAGATCCCAAAAGATTTTTGCGTTGGCTGCTGAAGGTGTACAGTGAAAGTGAAGCGCCACTCGTAACAGAAGGAGACGTGTGAGCCAGAGCCAGAGAAATCTAGCGAAAGAATACCTTTTATTATGTTTGCACTTTGTAATCTATGAGCTAACAAAGACAAAGAACTCCTTGGCAGGCGCATGCGGGTTCCGTCGCCTCAGGCTACTTTAGATCCAAAAGGGGTCATCATTCCAAGGACAAAGACAGACTTAGAAGGCTCAAAGCTTTGGGAAAACCATAAGTGCTCAATCTCATGGCTTGCTGTGCGTCACTTTGTCACGAGTTTGTAGTTCTGGCTTTTGTTTTTTGAAGTATTGACGAGTAGATTGAACAATGTTCCTTTGTTGTCACATGTTTTCAGCTTCTGAGGTTTTGTTGATTTGTTGTTTTTTTCTTCTGGAGTTGTGACCCTTAGATGTTGAAGTGATTCAAGAATGACACTAAATTATGATAGTGTTCATGTTCCTGTGTGTTGACCATATATGAGTTTCTAACGGTTTTGAATTAGATTGTTATGTTGTTTTTGTTTTTGTTCTTGCTTTGACATCATGAGTTCTTGGTGAGGTTCAAAAACCATAGTTAAATAATAACTATCTTGATGATCTCTCTTGTGGCAACCTTAAGTTTCTAACGACAAAATTGATTGTGTTTGTTATTCATATTATGGTTTTTCTTTGTTGGATGATCTCGAGTCTTTGAACACACGACAAAATTCAATGTTGATTTTGTTTGTGTTCATGTTCCTGTGCCTTGGTTGTCTATAATTTTCTTAAATTAAAGCTATAATCTCTCTCCAAGTGTGTGTCTTTTTTGGCCAGATTGTTGATCCTAAGTGTTTAATGCCACTAGAAAATTGTTTCATTTCATGACAGCACTAATGTCACATTGTTTTGGTATACCTTATTTTTTATTTTTATTTTTATGTGTTTGTTTTATTTTATGTTATTTTTTCTTAATTTATAAATATTATATGTTTTTTTGAATACCTATTGTTTTTTGTGTTTTGTATTCATATAACTTGTAATTATTCCAAACAGTGGTGACATGCTTGAATAATTTATATATTTAATGTGGAGGTATCTTGGAATAATTTCATTATTATTCTGAGGTATGTAGACATGGCGGTACTCTCAAGGTACCATATATGATAAGGCCCTAGATCAGAAAAAACCACCTGCCGATTGATTTGTGTTGTGTTTTCTCCAGATTTCTCCAGATCAAGATCCTACAGTCACAGTATGTCCATCACTGGGTTTGAGCACCTGCTGACGGGTTATCGGGGTGGGGTGCCAGTGTGCCCACTGTGCAGCGCAGCTAGACCTAGGAAAGCCATCCTGATTCCATGTGCTTCTCGGTTGCGAACACCGACATTGGTTGCACCCCATGCGACGGTGATGTGATGTGGGAAACTCGTCGTTCCGACTCAACAGACTTGGGTGTGAGTTTTGAACTGGGTGACCCCAGTTAAGCCAACCTGGCACAAATTAGGTTCAGTCCAGTTGGGGGGACCTCCCAAATTGGAATGCAATGGTCACCAGATGTGCGAGCCTCTCTGAGAGGCCGATTTGCAGCGGCTCATCGACATGGCCAACGCGCCCATGTTCAGTATCGATATCCACGGGCGCGTCCCGAGCTAAGTGGATCGGGTTTGTTTCGGTGTTAGGCTTATTTTTGGAGACAAGCTCAGGCTGCACAGACATTGTAAGCATCCGTATCCCGAAGGCGAAGAGTATTTATAGCATTGCAAGTTGATTTGCAAGGTGCTAAGCAGACAACAGCTGAGTGGCCGCAAAAACGGAGCCAGCGCCAGAGGATAAGACCAACTCCAAAGCAGACCAAGACCACCAAGACCTGCTTCTTTCCACGATCCGAAGGTCTCAGACTGGAACTGGAAGATCGCCACTTTGACAGGCTTCCAGAAGGAGGAGGTGCGTCCACCACCAGCCCCTCCGGGCCCCGCCTTTCGCCGCAGATCAGCTGAGTTGGTGTATGCGAGGAGTGGTGCACTCGCCCAAATGGATACTTGCAGCTAATGACAGGTTCCACCACAACAGCAGGGGCGGTAGATGGAGGGTCTATGATAGTCCACGGGCCTTCCCAGGATGTAGAGACATGAGAGACATGACTCATGACCCTGGTTGCACCATGCCACATGCCCCTGGTGAATGAGAACATTTTACAGTTGGTTGCTGAGATGGCATCGTTTGCCATGGGGTGCCACGCAACTTCAACCGCCTTTAGTAGATGGAAAGATGAGCAGGGTTTTCGGTCCATCGCAATAGCCTCCTGCATTGGGGATCCATGGGTGAAAGGAGCTTCTTCCTGCAGAAAGGGCTGCTCGGGCTGCTCTTTATCCGGCAAAAATTGAAGTGGAAGGAAACACTGCCCTGACTTTTGCCCAACTTTAACCAACAGGCTCCGTGTTTTCCCCACTGACTCAGAGAAGAGATGAGAAAGGCAAGAGAGAGAGAGGGAGAGAGGGAGTGCAGCTTTTACCGCTTCTGTATTTGTTGCGCTGCCCTTTCGGCCCAGTGTGTGCTGAGTCTATTCAATGTGAAGCCATGAAGTGCCGAGCTGAGCTGGGAGTCAAGCGTTCTTTCGGGTAAAGGAATCCACTCGTCAAATACACAAAGAACAAACTGATCCCTTGATCTTGACAAGTGGAGCACGGGTGTGAGTCATTTCGAAATACATACAGGCAGGTATGAAGTAAGTGAACACAATGAATCCAAAGGCAGGTGGAGCTGGATGGATGGATGGATGGGTGGGTGGATGGATGGCTGGATGGATGGATGGGTGGGTGGGTGGGTGGATGGCTGGACGGATGGATGGATGGATGGATGGATGGATGGAAGTGGACAATAGTTTGAAGCCAAGGCAACTCTAGAGGGAGCTTGATGCAGCCGAAGAGATACAAGGGCTTGATGACCTGTGCAGAACCCCCTACGCACGCAAAAGAGCCCCTTTTTTTGCCAAAGTCCGGGCAACAAAAATGGCTGCCAAGCTGTTACACAAGTAAATTGCAGTACAGGTCGGTATTTCACACAGCATGATGTGGCTGGTGTCTTTGAACATGTTAACTTTGAATCAACCAACACCTGTGATGATTAATTAATCAGAATGCCTTATTTTTTCAGGATGTTCCTTGCTGAGGTGACTGCAGTGTGTCTGCAAGGCCTGGACTTCCCGCGGGTTTTGGGGGGAAGCCAGGCGCCTGCATGGGCCCAGTCCAGGGTGATCCAGGGCGTTGGGTGATCCAGGACCCACGCGGGTGGAGCATCCCAACTCGTTGACATTCGTTGACGATAGGAGTCCGAAGAACATGGGCTTCACGCTCCTTGGAGTTGCATCAATCGATGTTCCAGCCATTTCTGGGTGGTTGGCCCACATTTGGGTGGTGAATCGTCACTCCAAACTCCAAACATGCAGGAGTTGCTGATTATTGATTTGTTGAACTCCTTTGAGGAATCGCTCCTCTTCGAAAAGTGTCTCATGGAACCGCCCGTTGAAACATGCGAATGTGGCAATGGGAGGAGGAACCTCCGCACGTCATTGCAGCAGCACCATTCAGCAACATCAGCAACCAGGTTATACCATACAGCACCAGGACCGTGCTTCCACATCACATCGGGCACCGAAACCAGCAGCACCCAGGTTCCACATCGGTGAGCTTCGGGTCTTCTTCCCTTATGACACCATCTACCCGGAGCAGTGGCCAGTCCCGGAGCAGTCGCACGGAGTAGTTGGCCCCACATCGCGGAAGCGCGGTGGAAGCTGCTCCGTGGTTGGCTGTGAAGATCCTGGTGTTTGGGCAACAGAGGATTCTTATTGTAAGCCCCCATGTGAAGAGGTTTTTGATGGTTCTTGCCATCCAAATGTGGGGACAACCCACTCATATGAGCAGCTGGGAATAGCTGGGACAAGCCAAACCCACAGGACCCTAGGATTTTTCTGGTCCACCATTGAGTCCACCATTATGATTTACTGTAGTAGCTCCGAACAACAATTGTTTGACAAAAGGGTTTTATATACAATGGTTTTACAGTTTTACACTACAACACCAGGTCAACACTTTTGTTTCAAAAGACCATGGAAGGCTGCCGGGTCTGGAGTCTTGATACTCCGAAACTCCGGACTGACCTTAGGCTCAGTCTACTCCGGTCCTTCTATATGGAAGAACTTCTCAGTGATTGTGGTGAAGTCAGTTCAGTCTCAGCCTGCCCAACTCTTTCAGAATATGAGTCACGGAATATCGTAAAGCAAAAGTTCTTGAAGGCTCCTCACATGTTTTCACCCCGAGTGCATCCGAAAGCCCGAAAGCAAAAAAACTCTGCACATTTCACACACATCCTCGGGCCATGCTGAGGTACCGATACATGTGCGAGCTCAAGCGAGCGTTGGATGCCAAAGGCAACAGCGTCCTTGAAATGCCCACAGGAACAGGCCACTGGTCGAGCGCTCTTTTCTTCGTTACAAGATGCGGCAATGTGAGGCTCCTCCACGCAATCTGAGGGAGTTAGGTCGGTGCTCCTCCCCAAGAAGTTTGACCACCAACCAAAGATTAGTTGGACGTTCTGTTGTGCATTCATTGGAGATATGTAGGTGATATCAACTTTTCCTGAGTAGACCAATTATCAATAGAAACAATGTTAAACATATCTTTGTATCACTTTGTCACTGTGTTTGTATAACATATCTAATGTATATATATATATATACCGTAATTAAGGTCATTGATTTTGCAGCCACTTAAGGAAGGTGATTTTTGCGCATGACGGAACATTTGGCACCGTTGATTGATGAGAAACTATTGCAGTTTCAGAATGTCCATTATTCAACTATTCAGTGTGCAAGACCGGTATGATGTAGTAAGGACACTACTGTTGATGAACAAACTCCTGCATGGATGACATTGCACTAGTCACTATTCCCAGAAGAGATTCACACTTTGGAACGGCAGTTTGCTGGCCACTTCAGGCAAGACCGTGACACTCTTTTCTTTGATCACCTCGCCTCTCGGCTATGTTTGATGTATGTATATATAGATATATACATAGCATGAATGCACGGAATAGCCTGATTAATATAGACCATGACTTGTTGATTTTGATGTGAGATAATAGAGCATTTGATGTCTATTCACCTGTTTTGTTGCCTGTCGTTGTTTTGTGCCGTGTTTGTTCGTACTCCTTCAATGACCTTTTAGCACTTTCACGGGGTTGGCTTCCCTGCCAACTCATATATGAGCAGCTGGGACATGGCCAACCCTATAGGATTCCTGGCCCAACCATTCATTTAATAGCCTGACCCCGAACAGCCGACCAACCATAGTTTTACGAAAGGGTTTTACTCTGCTTAAAACTATAAATATATATATATATAATAGTCCAACCTTTCTTTCAATATCTTTCAATGATCGACCGGAAGGCTAGGGTAAACCATGTCCACATGTTCTTGTCCGACCAAACAGGATGCGAGCCAGGTACCAGTGGGCGCATCCTGAACTTGGGCGCTTGGTCTACTGCACCCGAACCGTGCCCGAGATGAGCAAAGCAGTGGAGGAACTACGGAAGGTGCCCGAACTCGTTTGCGCGCGCGGTTTGGGTGAGTCTTGGCCTTTTCTTGGGCTGTAGGCCTGTAAAGAGTGGTCGACCTGGTGAAGTTCAAAGTCTTCATAGAGTGCTGGTAGAGTAATCATGCAGCTTAAATTACTTATATATATGTGCAAAAGCTGGTGCCTTAAAAACATACCAATTGGAGAAAAAGTGCTTTTCGCCTTGTTGACCAGGTCATCGACTTTCGCGTGGAGGTCCTGGCCAAAGAGTTGGATGCTGGTGGCCTGGCTGAGTGGTTGGATGCTGCGTGCTGCCATGTGCTCTTGCTTTTAGAAATCAGGTATATAGATGCACAAACTGACCAGAACAAACATGAACAAATTCCCTGGAAACCTGAGGGGTTGGACCTTTGGAAGGTTTGGAAGACTATCATGCGGATGGGAACTATAAGTTGCTGCCTTCCTCTAACATCAACCCTGGGAAGATCACTTTCCCCTGCAAGCAGGGCCGTTTTCCACTTGTATGATTGGAGACGATGAGCTGTTGTTGAGTGCTGGTACATGGCTGTAGGTCAAAAAGTGGGAGCCTCGCAACCCCCAATGGATCCCAATGATAAAGCACCTGATATGAAGAAATGCCTGTATACAATTTGTGGAAACATGTGGAAACCCTCAGCCTTCCTTCCTTTGAGCCACGCCTCATACGTTTTTTTGTTCTTGCTCTTCAGGAAGTGAAGCACCCAAGGGCCTCGCTGCCGGTCACATCTTAGCAGCTGCTTGGAACAGAAGCTCAGTATGTAGTATAGTATAGACAAGTGATGACCCGTGGTTTCAGACGGGCAGTATAGACCTTCCAAGAACGAAGATGCTTGCAGGTTTGGGGGACCAAGTGAAACCACCCACCCCACTTTGTAAACAGAGAGTGCGAGGATGTGCGAGGCATTGAGAACAAAGGGACTTCGGAATGATTTTCAAGCACAGTTGGTGCGGTTGACTGTAGCATTTCGCCAGTCATTTCGCCTTTGGAATGCTCTGCCAGATCAGCGGTTCAGCAGTTCGGTACGGGAGAAGGAGTTCCTCAAAGCCAGCTTAGACCCGGCACCGGCGGAGAGAGAGAGGCCTTCACAACTCCTATACTTGCAGTATTTTGCAGTGTTTGGGGTTCGACCTCATCGCGTGCCAAAACTCCGGGGCTCGACCTCATCCAGCCGTTCGGATCAATCAATGGAGATATCGGGCCATTCCAAAAGGTGACCCAATGACAAGGAGGGCCACCGCATGTTGGGTTCCTGGATGGGGCGCATGCCTAAGGAGTCCCAGGCCACGCCACGAAGCTCACCGCCACGCCACGCCACGACGTCTACCCCATGCGTCGTACATCCGCCCCCCATCCACTTCGCATCCGTTGCAGGCAGCTGCTTTTGGGTCTTCTCCGGTCGAGACGGAGAGACCGCGAATCATCTAAGGTGGGCCTGAGCGCACGCCGAAATATGTGTGTGCATCCGGAGGTGAGCAAGGAAGGCGACCGAGAGCGGGTGGACGAGTCGCTCGGCGGGGTTTCCAGCTTTTTCCGGACTGTCCGGGCGCGGAGGTGGGGGGCTGTGATTCTTCGAGACCGTTTTTGGGTTCGAACAGATTGGGGGGATGGAAAAAGACGTGGTTTATTTTTAAAGGAGGACTTATCATGCAAATAGGGAGCCGGAATGCATTCTTTTTCGCGCATATGTTTTTATTTGGGCAGTGATGTGAGGATCCAACATTGGAGAGACCGAGGATCCACCAGGCTTAGCCGCTGCTTAGGGGCTTACACCAATTGGGGACCATCTCTCTCAAACCACAAAATGAGCAATGTCTGTCATCAGGAATACACCACGTGAAGCACTCGGAACAGGCATAGCAGATGCCATACCGCGTTGACTACTGAATACTGCAAATGATGTGCTACTATCCACACAGGTCAAGGGCCGTTTTAGCGTTTTCATTGGATTTGATGTTGCGGATGCAGAAGCAAACTCATTTTCATTCGTTACCGAGGAGTGTGCGTGTGCGTGCGTGCGTGCGTGCGTGCGTGCGTGTGTGTGTGTGTGTGTGTGTGTGTGTGTGTGTTTTAGTATTTTTGCCATGCCAGATTGGACGTCCGGCGCCAGAGATGATCCTAACAACCCGTTATATTTCTACTAGACTAGAACTCCACCATGGAATGAACCAAACACTCCGCCAACCAGCATAGCCTTTTCCAGAGGAAAGATGATTATATAGCTCAATTGGGAGGGTCTCTTTCCCTCAACATAGTTTGGTGCAAGCAGACCACCAACTTTCAAGCATACTCGTTCAATCGGTTTGATGTACACTTCTTTCGACGATACGCAGAAACGTTTGCCCAGCTGGGGTTGAGGATGTGTCGGCAGCTGACAGCCCCCTGGACCAGAGAAAAGAAGACCGCAACTTGGTTTTGCTGATGTGATGTGTCTTTTCCTGAACTGAGTGAATCCCCTGGCATGGGGAAAAGGAGGGAATATAGTAGGTGATTACACAGCTGTCAAGACAGTAGCCTAACCCATTGTCGGAGGTAGCTCTGAAAATGTCAAGACCATGGAACCCACTATATATATAATTGCCAGCATTCACAGTCACCAGACGGGGTGCGAAGGAGACTCAATACCACCCCGACGGGGTGACTCCGCCAAGGCCAGCTGCGTCCATTTCGAGAAGTCCGGTCACCCAGCCGGGCAAAGGGCGCGCCCTGACACCGTGACCGCCGAAGAGACCCCAGATGGAACCTGAAAACCGCTTATATGAATGGTCTGGAGGAAGCTAGTCTTCCGGAGGTCCATTTTCAGATATGTTTTAATTCCATGTTGACCTTCCTGATTATAGCATATATGTTATACCTGCTTTCTTTACAGGTTGGTTGGGGAAACACATCGTTTTTGGGGCAGGCGGAGGACCTGCTTTCTAGTGCGGCACTTCTTCGATTTTGTGAAGATAATGGAAAACTGAACCACGGTGACTTTCCTAAAACAAAAACCGTGGTCAATCGGCGCAGGATTTTTTTACAACAAGTTTCAACACTTTTTGTCGGATTTGTTGCATCACTGCCGGTCCAATGTGGCATGCAGACCCATGAAACGGCAGTCATGTTCAGTACGAAATCAGTTGAGTTTCAGACAGCACTTCTACATGCCCTTGTTACTTTCGAGATATTCTGATTTTAGCTGAACAACCTGGCGTTGGCAACCTAATGTTGACCGTTGACAAATTACCTCCCCCACCCATACTAGATGCTTAACACATCACCATATGGGGAGTATTATGAATCAACCGTCAACATTCAGAAGTTATTACACAATTCTGACAATCGAAACTCACGGTTTGGTCCCCTTGCGCAACGAAAGAAAGAAGCCATATTGGATTCGTGCGAGCTGGTTCGCCCCTCAAAACTGGAGAAGAGTGATGAAGCTGCAGATCACCCTTGTTGGGATTTTGTTGGGGAGTTGCTGATTCCCCACTGGACATGCAGTCGTAGCCCGGGGCTTTGTGCGGGCGCTTTTGGCGGGCACGAAAGTGAAAGGCTTGGAGGAACGTGCAGTGTTTTCTTTTTTGTGTCCGTCGACCTTACTTCATTGTATTTCATTTTAAGAAAATGATTGGGGTTATTCCCCACCTGCCAGGTGAGGGTTGTTAGATTTTATTTGAGCTCTACTCCTCCTCCTCCTTCTTCTTCTGCTTCTCCTTCTCATCCTCCTCGCCATCTCCTCGCCAACTCTTGATTGCAGTGGGCACTACCGGACCTCAACCACAAGTGGGCACTACCGGACCTTAACCACAAGCTCGCAATCGCAGTGGGCATTGCCGGACTCACAACCCCCAGCTCCTGATTGCAGTGGGCATTGCCCGACCTCAACCGGCAGTGGGAACTACCGGACCTCAACCACAAGTGGGCACTACCGGACCTCAACCACAAGCTCGCGATCGCAGTGGGCACTGCCGGACCTCAACCGCCAGCTCCCGATCGCAGTGGGCATTGACCGGACCTCAACCGGCAGCGTCCGAGTCCAGTGGGCACCACCGGACTTCAACTACTAGATAAGAATGCCAGACAGAATGTCAGATAGAATGCCAGATAGAATGTCAGATAGAATGTCAGACAGCACGCCAGAAAGAATGTCAGATAGAATGTGCCAGATAGAGTGGTAGATAGAATGGCAGAGAGAATATATCAGATAGAGTGCCAGATAGAATGCCAGACAGAGTGCGTGATAGAACAATATGCCAGATACAATATAGTATGCAGATCTTGGAACGTGCTTATATGGCTTTACTCATCTATTTGTTTATCTGCCTTGTGGACAACAAATGTGCTGGTTTGCATCAACAAGTGCATGTCATATTTTTTGAAATATAGTTACATATAGTTATCGAAGTAAAACAATTTTGCTGTGCACAGTGTTTTCTTTTAAATAAATAAATACATAAACTTTTAAAACAAATATATACAAACCCTAACTAATGAATTAATATTAACATATATAAGACTTTACAGTATAGGACCTTATTATTGTATATACTAAATGGTATGAATGACGCAACCATGGAAAAAAAACAGTTCAGGAGCAGTTGCCACCTTCCTGCACGGGCGGAGGTACGAAAGTGCCTTGGGTCAACAGTCACAATTGCTGGACACAGGCACTGGGGCGGAGGGGGTTTGCTTGATGTTTCTTCGGATTTTTTTGGTGGGGCAACATCTCAGTGTCATTGTTTTTTCCTATTGCATGAATTTCCTTGATTCGTAAGCTTGGTTGAATTGCTCAAGATGTTTGATCGGTTTTGGAGTGAAGAATTCCCTTGGTAGACTTGTTTTTCCATCATAAAGGATTCAAACTACTACTGCGCAGTGCGCAGCTTTGTCGGTGGCTAGCTCTTCATGACACTACGCGTGTGCCTCAGACACAGCCGCACACGCAGCTAGGCATCTACACCATCGAAGACTTGAGGGTGAAAGGGATGGACAAGTGCCCGGGATCGCAAGAAACGAAGGTGTCAAGCCCTCCAATCCCAGTACATAAACAACCCCATGATGAAAGGCGTTCTTTGTGGGCCTAGGCGTCAGCCAGTGGCATACCCTACCCTACAATAGACAGCTTCACAAGTAGACAAACAGAAATATATTGTCTAGTAGTGACGTGTGAATCTCCACGCATTGGTGCCTCAACGGTTCTTGAACAATACAAGCCAAGCTGGAGTTGTGTGACCAAGAGGTGTAAGTCATCAATGCGGACCGCGGAACAGGCATCCGCCCACCATGCCGACTTGAGCGAGCTTGAGTGACAACTCAGCTCACACAGCATCTCAGGGAGTATGGCTGGTGCCCCTACTATGCTGCCCGCCGTCTTATTCAAGCATCGAGTGTCGTGGTTCTCAACTATCAGCAACTGGACAGCAGCCATGGAGAAAGAATCTGGCACTTCGTGCGCGCTACTGCATTTCCACGTGCAACTGCATTTCCACGTGCACATGTATACAGTAGAACTTACATGGATGTACAATTTACACATAGACTCGCAAAGTGTTACCGGTGGGCATCCTTCAGTTATTTTGGGTTTGTGGTTGAGTGCTACAGGATGTTTGCATCCCGTGCGTTTTGCAAATATCTCAGTGGTGGAGCACCCTCGGTGGCTTGATTGTCGAAGAAGTGTTCCTTTGTAAACAAATCACGTGTTCTTTTGGTGTCCCAGAGTTCGGCAAGTTCAGTGTAGCAAGTTCCTGCTTTTGTAACAAGACATGGTTTAGCGCTGCAAAATGAATTGCTATGAATCATGCTGGATTCTGCACTGTGGGCCTTTTCCCTTCAGTTCGCTAGACCGGCTTCAGGGTCTCAAAGCAGGCGCTCAAAATAAGAAGCTGTCTTGTGGCAGTCGCACCCCTGTCTTTCTTTATATAGTCAAGATCTCAGATCCTCCCCAAATCATCCAAAATCTTCTTGGCCACAGGCCAAATATGTCAAAATCATGCCTAAAATCACATTCTCTTGAACCGATGTTTGATTACTTCCCGCTCTCAGGTACGTGCTGGATCCCAAAGTTTCCTTAGCCTCATCTCTTGGGGGCGCCCCCAGCTTGCCTGGCGGCAAGATGCGGGCAGGCGCGTACGCAGGAATGCGGTAGGAAGGCCGCAGGTCGGGCAGGTGAGGCCATGGCCAATGGCGGTTTTCATGGCGAATCATGACGAGCAACATAGAGCAATGATATGCCTTTGATAGCGGATTAAGAATCCGGCTTCTGGGTCAACCCGGCTCGCCAGTGCGTGGTCGATGTGGATGAACATCATGTGGAGCCATGACCCAAGGCATCTTTTTCTTATGTTTTCTTCGGACTCGCTGGGAGAGAGGATTGCGTTCGTTTGATTAATCCACTCAGTTGATTCTTCGAGTACATCGATGCCATTCGATGCCTCAGCCTTTATAGGGTCCCCCGCGTAGCGCCGAGTCAACAGTCAACCCCTGATGGTTTTGTGGGGATGACAGCCATCCAAGCTTCGTCCAGTAGACGGGATTTACGAGAACGTAATAACGTAACCACCACCAGCACACCACCAGCACGCTTCGGGGTGCCAATTGGTGGGTCTCAAAGGGGTCTAAACACCACCCATGTTGGCCACAGCGGCCACAGAACATGAGTTGAGTTTTTTGTTGCACGTTCTTTTGCGACGTGGTGTAGCTGCTAGGCGGATTGAGTTCCATTGAGCCCAGCATCGTGGTCTTTGATGAGGCCGTGCTCCGTGCCCCGCCGTACCCCATGTACCGCTCATAAGTATCCACCACCCCCAAGTGGAACGGGCGCCGTAGGAGTATTTGTAAGGTAGAATGTTGATTGATACCCCCCCCCACAGTCCCCCCCACTACATTGCGACACCTGGGGGCTTTATTGATCAAGAGACTACATTATATGTTCATTTGAGGGACCAACAAAAACACCGACACAGACCAAGAAAGTGGGTGACTCACAGCAAGGTTTTTTCAACACCCCGTGGCATGGGAGAGGAGGTCATACAAGCCACAAGCAAGGTTGTTTCAAGGCAGTGTGCCTGTGCCACAGTGGGTGCAGCGTACTCTGTGACTCTGGATTTTCCTTCAGCAGCTGCTTGGCTCAATTATGCTCAATGTCTTTCTGATCAGTGCGAGCCAACGCATTGGTTTCGCCAGTGGAATATGGCCAGCGGACCATGTTCGATGTCCTGCAGCAGCTCTTTTTGTTGCGGATATGGTTTGCTAAAGTGCAAGCAGTCTGAAGTTGGACAACCTCAGGATGCAGCACATCTGGACTACTTAACCCAGTGGGTCAACGCACCAGTTTAACCAGTTCTTTAGTAACGCACCAGTTTAACCGGTGCTTTAGCAAAACTGGGGCTGGAAGCTTAAAAAGGCCGTGAAAAACCCGTGAAAAGGACGTGAAAAACCCGTGAAAAGCCCGTGAAAACAGGGTGAAAGGCCGTGAAAACCTGTGAAAATTAGGTCTTGGAAGTTGGGAGGTGAAATGCGTCCTTTATGCTAACGCACCAGTTTAACCCGTCCTTTGGACTTGCTGGGTAATATGTCAACACCATTGTTTCAGCTTCCAACTTTCCTCGGCAAGTATGCGACTATTAGTCCATGCGCACTCATGGCATGCAGCCTGAGCATCACGAAGATTTCTGGGGAGACGCACCTCGGATGAGCAATGGCACTCTTTTTGCACCCCAGCCCGCGGGCTGCGAAGAATCTTAGGTCTCATCAGGTGGCCTTCGAAGATTCCTGAATTGATCTCTTTTGGAAGGTTTTTTTGGGGCTCCTATGAGACGGGACGGGACAAAGCTGCGACTGGCTCGCAGAGATGAGGAGACGCGTGACTGATTCATGCATCGTAGAGGCCGTGGTATATGTGGCACAGTATGTATAGACGCAGACGCACACGGTATACGTGGCCGTGGTCACCCAGGTACACCTGCGCAGCTGAAGAGGATGAGTTGGTTGGTGACTTGAAGGTGACCTCGCACGGGAGAAAGAGGGGTGTTCGACGGATCGCTGTGGGCTTTGGATGATTTTGGAGAGCCACGAGGGCGTACAAGCGTACACCAAGAGCGACACCAAGCGACGGCGTACAACCTGAGGAAAACATGTCCCCATGAAGGGTGGAAGGCTTTTCATTTCCCCAAAAGAGACGCTCCTCATGGTTCCTGGTTCCAGGCTTTGGCAATGAGGTGAAACTGCAGACTAGGGTCCAACAGAAAACATGGTTTGGCCACCCCTCTCATTGCACAAAGTGAGGTGGTACATGGTGGTACTTACCATGGTTGGAAGGTTCAATTATCTGAGAGACCGTAGGTGTTGCATTGGGTGTGTTGTTGTTTTTTCAGAGCAAGTTCTTTTTTGTCAACTGATTTTATGGTAGATTCATGCATGGCTTCTCGATTCAGCTTGGGGGCTGGCAGACGCCAGGCCCGCCTGGCTGAAGAGCTCAACTGCCCAGCAATTTGCCAGCGCTACCTTTACCATTTGGTGTCAGTCTCATGTGCGACGCGCATGCAGCAATCCCTGGCAAGGAGGAGCGGTTTCCGTTTTGCGGTCAGAACACTTGGAGCCGGAGGACGTGTGTAAAGGAATTCCTGATGAATGTTAAGAGATGTGAAGATATGTGAAGTACCTTTGGATTGGATGGGATTGGGGTGAAGCTCGCAGGATGGTTTTTGAAGTTACGGTAAGGCAGGACACAGGTAACGTGTGTTCCCAGGCTGGACACCGCGGGGGCGCCCGAGGGCTCGTCCTGTAGCATTTTGGTTGGCGTTCAAGTGTGCTTGTCGACCCCTTTTGCTTGTTGGCCTGTGAGCCACCGGCCTGGCAAAGTGTTTGAAAACACCGCCCACACGGCCAAAGAAGGGTTGAACGGCGTGCACCATTCGGCACTGGTCAGCCATTTGGGGTCAAGCACCACTTTGTTTTGTTGCAAATTGCCCACGAAGCGACAACATGGCCATGCTGGGACGGCTTGTGGTTGGCTTGAGCCTGTTCTCCAGGCAGGGCAGTATGGTAGGCTTGAGCAGGATTCAAGGTGTGTTGTTATTGAAAGATCGGAGGCATCCGCTGACAGCATAATATATTCTGTATATATTCTCAATCGATGTGGTAGATAGACTTGATGGAAGACATATGCATGCAGAGGTTTTTGATTTGTTGCTCTGGCCAATTTGTTAATCAGCAGATTTCTTGGATTTGGAACGGTCTGCTGTGAATGAGACTCTTTTGTGAACAAGTTTCTTAGTCTTAAGTCTAATTCGACTGAGACGGCATGTTACGACCAGCCTTGGCCAAGGCTTACAGTAGGACCCCTTTGGCCATGTGAGATTGAGTTCGTCATGTATGCTCCAGCTACTTGCAAAAAATGTGTTTTGCCTACCTACTTGTGAGCACTGGGGACCAAGGACATGCATGGCTGCAGCTTGCGGCGGCAATGATGCACAGATTTGGTCACAGAAAGGGTCCGCAGCCTTCTCAAGCGACATGGAGACTTGCGGTCGGCAATGCGCCTCTGGCAAAACAATCCCTGCTGACCGGACATCTTGACATGAACTGCCCCAGTATAGCCTGTGGCACGGCCGGCACGGCCGGTTGGGAGACCGCTCCCACCTCGCCAGCAACGTTTCAGCAATGACACAATCTCCTCTAAGCCTCGAACTGCGCGATTCCTGCACAGCGAGATATCGTGAAATCCTCCCAAGGGAGGGCGAGAGAGAGAGAGAGGGGTGGCTTTAAGAGATGATGAGAGATGGCCCTTTAGAACTTCAACTTGGTAGCCAAGCTCACATATATGAGAGAGGTTTGGCCAAACCGTGTTTGGCCAAGCTGTTATAATAGACTATAGACCTCGTGGCAGGGAAACCAAGTTAAACAACCAGACGTGTCAGAGAGAGAGAGAGATGGCTTCAAAGGCCCACTGTGAGTAGATGAAGTGTTGTTTCTCCCTTTTTGAGCCGTCTTCAACCACGAAAAAGCGGGTCCACACTTCCAAGGTGCCCTGGCGTCCACTTCCTGCGCCAGTGACTGCGTGAAAGGCAAGGAAGGGTACAGTGACCCTTGGTATCGAATAGTGATCGCTTTAGATAGATGGCATCCCAGTGGCCCAGTCGATGTGAATCGAGGAATCCAGAAACGATTCGACCTCACGTGAGACCTCAGATGCCGAATGTTCTGGGGTTTTCGCCTGCGACACTAACCGGGGCCCCGCGCGAAACCACCAGTTTTACAATGTTTTACGGTTTGGAAGATGTTTTACATGTTGCGCAAGTAATTAGACATTATATGACGTTGTACACATGCGAGGGCCTCCGGTTTAGCTTCGGAGGAGGCATGCAGGGGGTGGCGGCATAATGTATACGATTGCACGGAGCCGCTTCACACACAGCCGCAAACCTGCAGCATGCTACCGAACTGCATCTTTCGTTGTCTCGTTCTCTTGTTGCGTTGAAGCCGGTACTTTTCCGCTTTCAAGGACCACCCTGTGTTGAAGCACTTTCAATCGATCCGTGGGTTTGGACTCTGCCTTGGACCTTTTCACTCAACCATCTGACCCTTTGATCTGATTGACTTCGTTTACCATCGTGGACACAGGCCCGTTGGACGGGGAGGGGCTAGGTAGTTGCTGTGGGCACTTGTGATCAATTTAGGCTTCGCGCTGCACGTCCGTACTTCGGAGACGTTCCCCAGCGGCCCTGGCGCACCACGTGCTTTTTAGACTGGCATACAAAACCAATAACGTGACCTCTTGAGAGTCTATATCGAAAGCCACAGAAACCAACGTTTTTACAACTTTGCACTTGATGTCTTCCAATGAAACGTTCGTTTCGTGCGGGGCCCCGGTTGGTGTCGATGCCTTGTTTTCGTAGACCAGGACAGCATTTGTTTGCATTGGTGGTCATCGGATGTCATCGGAAACTCAATATATTACCTGAAAAGGAGCAGCATCTTTTTTCAAACGATCCAAAGACCCGCCAATGGATACAATATGATACAATGATACGCAAGATGTCATGCAATGATGCTTTTTGCAAATGAAGAAACAGCGGATCAACCAGTCCGGAGCAACACTCTTTAAGCCATTTTGGGGCCCTTGCGGCCCCTACTCATATGGTCAGCCATGGACAGGGTGGACTTGGCGGAGGACTCCAATGAGGACCACCTGCAGATGGGGGCTTCGAGGCCTACAGGACATGGCATCAAGCTTGAGGGAGATTTCCAGCAAGAGAGCTGAAGACATGCTGGGCGGGAATCACCGCTCATGGAGGTGGACGCGACTTCCCAAAGACTGCACCAGCCCTGCGGGAGGTGAGAGGAGATGATAGGAGTGGAGGAAATCAGTGAAGATGCCCATGGAGTGATCTTGGGCGAAGTGCAAAGTCCGACTACGAAGTGCCAAGCACGTTGAAGAGTATCATGGGAGAACGAATTTGCGGGCCTTGGTGCTGAAGAGAGGAGCTCAAGTGATGGACACGGACTTCCTGAACGAGGAGTTAAGGAGGCCGTCACAGATGATGGCAGTCGACGAGGTGAAAGTCGAGAATGTGCAAAAGCCAGACACAGGAGCTTCAAAGGATCAAAAGAGGGTATGGGTGGTCGTGATCAGCGGGGCAAGGGAGTCCTGCAAAGCCGCAGATTTGCTCGTCCAGTGGCGAATCAGTGCTCGAGGACATCTTTGCGAAGAAGAAGAAGAAAAGAAGAAGAAGAAGAAGAACGACACGC